TGTTGGAAGTAGATATGAATGAAGACTGTCGTGAATTGGTGTGTGGATTGTCTAAAAGAGTATTAGACATAAGCAAATGTTTGCTGCAACGTTCATGAGTGCTTACGAATATGATTTGAGCATTGGATTAAACCCACGCTCACTTGGATCACTATCTCGAGTGATTAGTGAGACGATAAAATCTTATATTCTTGAAACCGAGATGTGTGAGTTGTATCTTGCTGATCGGTTGCACATTGATAATATGTAAACGCACTAGTAACTTGGTGTTATAAAACATATTGTTGTGTGTAATTCGGTGAGTGAGTGCAAGTGAGCATTGTATCAAAGTTTATCCATTCCTTTTATCCAAAGTAGGATAAAAGCGATATCTTTGGGCCCCTCGATGGTTTAGTGATGACATACGTAAATGCTTGGCCGGGCTAGGACTAATTTGATTTGTTCAATTAGTCTGTCGTCATAAATCGGAAATCGAGATATAGTACAAAGAGAATGATTTGAAATCATATCTCATACGATATCTAGAATGGAGGAATATATGATCCCTTATCTAAGGACACGCGTATCTGATATGATCAGAGTTGATAGCGGCTTTGGAAAGCTACGATTGCAGATCAGGATCTGAAGTCATACGCAGAATAGTTGTTAGACTTATCCAAGTGGGAGACTGTTGGATTAGTGTCTAAGTCCATAACTATTTTGGTATGTACTTGACCCGATGGTGCATGGTCCTTTTGGGTTGCCTTCACCAAAGCAACTTGATAGGATGATTTATGGAGAGTAAGGATTAAATATGATTTATTAATGTATTATGAGAATAATATATTAAAGGAGAAATCATATTGTTTAATTAATATTAGTCAATAATTAATTGGTAATTAGTTTTGTGACTAAAAGAGATTAATTAAACTTAAGGGACTGGAATTGTAATTATAGGATAATTGCAATTTGGGCCATGGATTGCCTTATATTAAGGGATGGACGAATTCTAATGGGAAACCCATAAGGAAATCGTACATGGGCTTAATTAAAGGAGTCTATGGGTTGCTTAGGGCTTAAGCATCCAAATTAGGGTTTCCTTGTTAGATAACCCTAATAGCCCAACTATATAAAGACCCCTTAAGGCTCAAAAATGTGGCTAAGCTTCTTGTAAGGGTTTACACACGTTTTTGGCAGCCTCCATCCTCTCTCCTCTTCATCCTCTTGCTTATGGTGTCTGTGAGCCATTAGAGGAGTGACACTTGTGACTCTAAGCCTTCCAAAGTTAATACAAGGAGATTTGGGATTGTTATTGCTACATAACAATCAAGGTAATACTATAAACTTATTCTCATGTTAATATGATTATATGTATGCTAGAATTAGGGTTTATAGTCTTGGATTCAAAGCATGTACAATAGAGAAACCTAGATCCAAGCATTAGGGTTTGTATGAGCACATAGGATGTCTTATGACCAAAACCCATCAATATTATCTCCTGGAACTCATCACGTCAAAAGTTTGTTTCCCGCTCCTCCACTGAGGCAGAATACAAAGCATTAGTTAATGCAGCAGCTGAAATTGCTTGGGTTCAAAACTTGCTCACCGACCTTGGTGTCCCACAAACATCATCTCCTATACTTTTCTACGATAACACATGTGCCACATTCTCTGTGCCAATCCCGTCTATCATTCGCGCATGAAACACGTGGCACTAGATTATCACTTTGTTCGCGAGAAAGTTGCTCATGGATCTCTCAAAGTTCTGCACATCAACTCCACCGATCAACTTGCAGATGCTCTCACCAAGCCACTCAGTCGAAGCCCATTTCTTTGTCTACGATCCAAGATTAGAGTCAATGGATCCTCCATCTTGCGGGGGCGTATTAAGGACCAATGATAACTAAATTTTATATGATTTAATTTACCATCTTTATATTATTATTTTAATAAATACAACCATAAATAATTCAGTCAAAGCTTACCTAGTTTATCTCCTTCTCATCCGGCTATATAGCCTTCCCCTATACATTGATTTTTATGAATGAACATATACTTTCACAGGAACCCTAAATACTTTATACTTCATTCTTTTGTTGCTGCCGGAAAATCAAAAAATCAGCATTTGCTATTGTCGTAAAAAATTAAAAACCTTAACCTTTTATTCCTTTTCATGTTGCCGAATTATCTCATTTGTTGTTGTCGAATCATCTGAAAAATCAAAGATGAATCGACATTTGTTGTTGCGGGAAACCAGAAGTAGTGTCCGATCTTCTACTATACAGTTTGCTTGAGCAGCGACCCAAGAAAGGTAGAAGATGGTGGCTGTTGCTTTTTTAACTTAAAAGAACATTAGAGAAACCAGATAAAAAGGATGCTTTCTTGCCACCGGAAAATGAAAATTAGAATTGATCAGAAGATGTAAAGATGTGAATTAATTATAAAGAAATTGTAGACGCTTTGTAAGTTGGAACCGGATGGAAGCTGTTTTCATTTTCCAGTATAGAATGAATTGTTTCACATTAAAATTTTAAAATATTAAAACATGGTTTTGATATGAATTTTGAGTGTATGGTTGGAATGTGAACTGTATTTTTGTATTAAAGAAACATCATTAAATTTTTTTATGCTATGATTGGAATCGGTCTTAGGCTTGACGGTATGGGTGCGGTCCGAGACCGCACTTCGTGCCACATGGACACGGAACACCGCCCCCAGACCGCGGTCTGGTGCGGTCTCGGCCGCAGTGCGGCTTGTGGGTACCGTGCAATTTGATTGGCCATGGATTTTTGACTGTTTTGACCGTTGAATGGTCTTCAATGTTTTTTTTTTTTTTTTTTTTTTTTTTTTTTTTTTTTTAAACTTTACTACACACACACACATATATATATATATATATATTACCAATCTACACAATATTTTTACACAACTTTTTATCATTTCTCTACTCCTTTTCTCTATTTTTATTTGAAAAATGTCATCTTCCAAACGACCTAACAAAAAAAAAAACACCAGTCAGAAATACCAACACTCCAGTACCTTCGTTTGATCAACCCATTTTCTCACCTCCGTATTACCACTATGGCGGTATGTTTCCGTATTTTCCACAACGATCAGGGCAACCACAACCATAAACACACCACTACCACAACCCGACTCGGATTTTAATCCATTTGATTTTTTGTCCCAACCCGAGTTTGTACAACAAACACAAACACAACCAGAAACGGTCGTTTCTGATTCTGAGCCGAATTTCGTTACAGAAACTCAGCCCACTCGAGCAGCGAATAAAAGAAAAGAGAAGGCGGAGGCTAGATGTTGGGAACCTTTGGAAGCGTTGGTGTTGGCACAATCTTGGATCGATATTTCAGAAGACGCGACGGTTGGAAAAGACCAAAAGCATGACCGCTTTTGGATTCGTGTTTTACACAGGTTCCATAAAGGAATGAACCGTGGAGAATACCGTTCAAAACATCAAGTGTACTCCAAATGGGGGAAGATGAACAAGGAAGTCATGTTGTTTAATGACTTGTGGAACAACATGAAACATCAATGGAAAAGTGGAGAAAGTGATGAAGTCATTTTGAAGAAAGCCTTGAAAGTGTATCAAAAAGAAAATCTGAAGGCTTTCAAGTTTCTTGAAGTTTGGAATTTTTTGAAAGATAACAGGAAATGGCTGAGTAGCAAAACATCTGACCAACATATCGACAGTGGGTCAAAACGCAGCAGAACATCGGAGTCCGACCACACTACATCAGATGCTCGTGTTCAATTTGATCTGAACGAAGATGAACCTGTTCCAGTTTCACCACCTTCCCGACCATTGGGAAGAGACAAATCAAAAAACAAAGGCAAAGGCAAAGCGTCAGATTCAGATGATTTGAACGAAATGGGAACTGACATGAAGGATATAAAAGAGAGAATGGACAAGATTTTGAAAATTGCTTCTGAAAGAGACCTTCAGAAACAAAGGGAGAGCGACATGCGAATACTAGCAATGGACATGTCGAATATGACCGGGGCCGAGCTTGAAGTGATTTTGGCGATGAAGGAGGAAGTGGAAAACCGTTACATGAAACGTGGCTAATTGCTAGTTTTTTTTTTCAAGTTTTTAATGGTTTCTTGTGTGTTTTTTTTAAAGTTGTTCGTTTTTTGTTTTTACTTTGTTTTTCTAAATTTTTAGGTTTTTTTTTTTTTATTTTTTTTATTTTTATTTTTATTTAAATTAAGTAATGTATGATATTTGTATTTTTAATTAATGAACTATTATGTTTTTAAAATTATGTTTTTTTATTAAAAAATAAGTTTTATTAAATTAAAATAATTAACAAAAAAAAAAAAGGAAAAAAAAAAAAAAAACTAAAACTGTGGCACCACACCTTTGGTGTGGTAAAATGTGACGTGGCGCTTATGTGGCGAGGGAGGGAGTGCGGTTTCGGTGGCACCACTCCCTCCAGCCTTAAGCACCTGTCTGGTATCCAATAGCAAATCATTTTTACAACCTACAAAACCAGTTAAAATGATACTCCTAACAATTCGACAATAAGTTAAATGGCCTAGAAAAGAAGAAAAATAAGTAGAAAAAAATGAATAGATCTTCGGGTTAGATAAAAATTATCTTTTAATTCAATTATTTCAAATATTGTTAAACATATAAAATCATTTTTAAAAGAATTATTTGAAATTCTCCCGACAATTATTTCAAACATATTTTAGTATGATTGGTGGGTACTATATAAATAATATATAATGCTTTCATCAACATCGAATAAGATGTTTATTTTTATAATAAAAGGTGTTATTAGTACTACTAGAGGTTGTAGTTGAGATCTTTTAGAAAAACATTCTTCTTTTGCAAAGTTTTGTCGTTTCTATAAAAACGGCGTCCGCGAACTCGCCACGCTCCGAATATGTTTTCAGTTAATAAATTCACGGCAGCCACTTGCCGATGGACCGACCGCCACCAGAATCTATAAAACCCGGTTCCTCGAACCCAAACATGCACCGAAGCATAAGATTGCATGGCTAACCATCGACGCCCCAACTCCTCCGTTTTCCAGCAGCATACTTCTCAATCCACCACACCTGGTGGCTCCTCCGGTCGCCACCCAGTTTACCGTGGTATCCGTTTGCGAGCTGGAAAATGGGTTTCTGAAATCCGTGAACCGAACCAGACCACGCGCATATGGCTTGGCACGTATGCGACACCGGAAATGGCAGCAGCTGCTTACGACGTGGCTGCATTGGCACTCAAAGGTAGGAATGCAGTTCTAAACTTTCCAGACTCTGTTATTTCAAGTACACTACCAGAGTGTCCGACTGCTGATGACATCCGTGCAGCAGCTGCGAGAGCAGCTGCCACTCGAGCACCAGGATATGAAACTGGTGGTGGAAGCATGACGTCAGCCCCTCCTGGTGGATATATGGACGATGAACCCAATCTGTTGTCTGACATGGCGGAGGGAATGCTGTTAAGTCCACCGAGGATGGATTCCAGTCCACCACCTGATGATGGAACAGATCAATCCGGTGGAGGCAATCTATGGAATTATTAAAAGCAATAAGCTTGCTAATAAGTAACAACCGGTATGCATAAAATATTGATCGTAATGTTTTCAGACTTTGCTTTGTGTTGTTTTCGTGTGCCTTTTTTTTCTTTTATATAATTTCTAAAAGCTTCCGTACGCTGGCTACAAAAAGAGCCATGAAGGTGTTGGGAGTATTCTGGTTAAATGTAACGTGCGAGTGATGTATTTTTATCTTAGTTTTTCAAAGCTTGTAAGTAAATAACATATACGACCTATTGGTTGTGACTGTTATGTTATAATAAATACCGGTTGATTTGAAGTCTTTTTTTATCGTTACCTTAATTTACATTTTATGTTAGTTAATCATGCAAGTTTTAGTATGATGGTTCACTTTAATTTGTTGACATAATTATCGGTTAATTAAAAATTTTGTGAAACATTGTGCTAATCATTGTATTTAGGATATTGATTTGTACACAATACATAAAAATTTATGTTTTATATGATTATACTGTATAATTGTATAAAACACAATTTGTTGTATATTGCTAAATATTAAGGTTTGTTGAAAGAAATTATGTTTTTGTGGAATTTGAGCGTTATGAACATTATTCAATAAAGAGAGATAGATATCTATGCAATTATGTTTTTACATGGTTTGATCCAATCCGTAAAACATGTTACACCAAAATTTAAAAAATCTTTTTTTGATCGTATTTGGAATTACAGAAAATGTGGCAAAAATAGCAAGGGACGATCACTCCATCAGAAAGGATTTTCATGCAATTCCTTTTAGAGTTTCAATAACGCTGCTTTGACGATACATGCCTTACCAATTTGGTGTTTTGTACAAAAAATAATTACCAAGGTCGGCTTTTATGACTTTATGTTAATAGCCCTTCATCGAAAATGACCAACTATTTTAACTTTTAAAAACATGACCTCTTTGTTGGAATGGGTAAATCTGGACACTTTTGATTAACTTTATGTCTTATTAATTTACTTTTTCTAATGGTGGACAAAGTGGTGGCAAATCGTTGGCGGGCTCAAACGGTACCACTGGCTACACGATGTACAACCAATTTAAATAAGCCACGTGCTAGGTAACCGGTATGTAATCTCTCTCTCTCTCTCTCTCTCTCTCTCTCTCTCTCTCTCTCTCTCTCTCTCTCTCTCTCTCTCTCTCTCTCTCTCTCTCTCTCTCTCTCTCTCTCTCTCTCTCTCTTTGACTGTTGATATTGAGATTGTCAAATTTTGTTTTTTAGTTCATTTTACCTGGTATAAATACAACTTTCTATTCTTTGAAAAACCACATATTTTCTTTCATTTCAGTCCAATTCTCTCCAATTACATTCGATTTCTTCGATTCCAAGCAAATTTCATTTGAAATGGATTCTACTGTAGCCAATTCCAAAGATCCAAACAATTGTCTTGCATACTTGCCACCTTTTTTTTTGCGCGTTTGTGTTGGCGTGCTACTTATGTAAGTTTTCCTCTATACATCATAAGGCGTGTGTTAACTTTTGATATCTGTTTACATGGTCTTGCTTACGTACCATATTTTTTATGTGCGTTTGTGTTCGTATTTTGACGGTGTGTCCTCTTACAGCTATTTGATGATATGTTTATGTGTATCCATCTATACAGAATGTCATCTTATTCGATGATATGTATATCAAGTTCTTCAAAAAATCTGGAACATACCAACGATCAATTTTTTTTTTTTTTTTTTTTTTTTTTTTTTTTATTTATTTATTTATTTTTTTTATAACCATTTCATCATACATCTTGATTTGCAACAGTTACCGCCCTTAATATACACAAATTCCTTCATTACCCATATTCATTGGGTCATTTTACTCTTTACAAGATTCTAAATTATAGAGATTATAGGTCACATATGTTTAAAAGACTCCGTTACTATTTTGATTATACATTTTTGGTATCATTTAAACTTCACCAAAGAACACACATGTATTTAACTATTCTATTAATGCAATGGATGTTGTTGCTTGTTTTACTATTATGCATTGTTATGATACTATACATGATGTCCTCCACCCCCGAATGTTTCCGCCAATTCCGTTTAGGGGTGTGACAGGATTGCCCTAGGGGTTATATGTAGTTACGTAGGATTGCCTGAGTACTCTTGATCTAGAATTTCTTGCATGATTCTTTTTTGTGTGTGGCTATTGAGTTGGATCTCTTATTTAAGTGTCTATCTCATCTTTGCTTACATATAACTATGTATTCCATAGATCTTTACCAATCGTAGTGTAGTAATGTATGAGGTCGGGTATGAGGTAGTGATTTGTTAGAAAGGTAGACTAGGGAAGATAGTTGTATGTGCTTATTTAATTATTTGATTAGTTAATTGTTTAATATGTTGACATATTGTCGTAGGGTGGGTTGAGGTGGTCCTGCTTTGTGCTATAGGCTAACAAGTCATAATATGAGGGCAGGTAAGGCATTCTAGTATTATGTTGTAGGCTCGGGAGCAAGCCAGTCATGAGCTATGGGTCTGGGGAGGGACAATCCAGTCTTATATTGTTGGCTTACGGGAAATCCAGTCTTTGTGTTGTGGGCCCAAGGGCAATCCTGTCACACCCCCAAACCGGAACGGAGGAAACGTTCGGGTGTGGAGGACGTCATGTATTGCATCACAACAATTGTATCATAGTAATCAAAGTGAACACAACCATTCCAATATAATATGAATATTTACATCTTGTTTGATACAAACTTTGTATACATCAAAAGTATAATAAGTAAAAGACGTGTCTCTATATGCTTCGTCTTCTCAAAATGCTGCAGGAGTTCCTGTATACTATCATCCTGAGAATACAAGCGATTTTGAAATCGTATGTAACACCCAAAGTTTGGAAGGCCAAGAAAAGAAAGAAAACCTTAATTTTAAGGGAGACTCGACGAGTCCAAGGATGAACTCGGCGAGTCCGAGTGGGATCCGGGTCGAGGAGTAAGTGACCGACTCGGCGAGTCGGCCAAGGGGACTCGGCGAGTCTGGTCTGTGCGAGGAAAACCCTAAAATCAGGACTTGGAGCCTATTTAAACGTCTCATTCTCTCCCCTAGGGCTCCTTTACTGCCCCTTTCACCCAGAACATCGAACCCTAAGCCCCATTGTTGCTCATTCAAGCTTCCAAGACATTTGTGGGGTGATTTGAAGGAAGAAGAAGAACGAGAATCATTGGAGCTTCAAGGATTGGCCTTGGATCCGAAGATTGGAGAAGTTTTCTGAGTTATTGAAGGTATTAAGTCGTTCTCTCCTTTAGATCTAGTATGGTTGCGAGTTTTGGGGGTTTTTTAGCCATGATTAGTTACCTCTTTTGAGTTAGAAGCCAGATCTGAGGTTGCTACTTCAGATCTAAGCTCATTATGGTCTTGAGAAGCAGAAAGTAGCAGCCCTTGAGTTGATTATGGAGCCTCTTTACCTTAAACCCTAGTTTATGGTGTATTTTGCTTAGATCTCCTTCTTTACACGTAAAGTTTGTAAATTTACGTGAGAAATTGGCTTGGGAAGGGTAGATCTACAGTTTGGAGTCCATGCATGACTCAAAAGCCCTCTGCATGTATAGGGATTTGAATGGACTCGGCGAGTAGCATGAAGGTGAGGAGTAACTCGACAAGTGGGATGAACAGCTCATCGAGTCAGATGAAGATTGCCTTGTACTCGGTGAGTCAGGTTGCGAAACCCCAAACCCTTCGAGTTGAGACTCGAATCAGTGAGATGGGTGGAGACTCGGTGAGTTGGACAGGTCAGGACTCAGAAATCGGTAGACTCGGCGGGTTATAGATTGACTCGGCGAGTCGAGACGCGAAAGGAAGGACTCTGAATATATGAACTTGACGAGTCAGTAGGGTGACTCGGCGAGTAGGGTTGACCTGGAAGGTTGACCTTGACCAGGACTTTGACTTGGACCAGGGTTGACTTGGTTATCTTTCGGGGGTCAGTTAGACTCAGTGTTGCTTTGATATTGGTAGTTCGAGGAGCAAGGGGAGTAGGAGTTTAGTGAGTTGTCGGGCAGAAGCTAGTGAGATCATCAGCAAGTTCAGCCAGTGCAGGTGAGTTTCCCTTTGTGTGAATGGGTCTAAGGCCACAATGTCGGCCCATGTAGTTATGAGTAGAAGACCCAGGGGTTAGCCCTAGGCACAATATGCCAGTATGATTTTCAGGACGAGGTCCCTTAATAGCGGGTGGGTGCCCAAGGATTTGTTTATATGATAGTCTATACTTGTTGTCTGTATGATACATGTATGTGCCTGGTAGGGAGGTGAGTATGGGCGAGGTATCGTATCTCACCAATAGCAGAGTGTGGATGGTGTTCCACATCTCATTAGTAGCAGAACAGGGGTGAGGCCCAAGCTAGAGAAGGAGTGAGAGTGGGCTGGGCCCGTACCTCACTATCAGTAGGAGCATGGACGGGGTTCCATGACTCATCAGTATCAGGACAAGGGAGAGGCCCAGGATAGGCGAGGCCTTAGGACAGGATCAGTCATATGAGTTTAACTTATGTGTTGTGATATGTTATATGATATTATTAATTGGCGGGTGAGGCCCGGTGATATGTGTATGTGTTATTATTTGTTGGCGGGCGGGGCCCTGTGACAGGCGAGGCCTAAGTAAAACAAATTTGTATCCGAGCAGGGATCGAAGCCAGGCGGGGCCTGGAGCGGCGGGGCCATTGTAGCGGGTGAGGCCCGAGGTAGGGGTGAGGCCCAAGATAGCGGGCGTGGCCTAGTATGTGCAGTATGTGGTTATGCATGGTATGTGGTAGGGTGGGGAACTCACTAAGCTTCGTGCTTACAGTTTTCAGTCTTGGTTTCAGGTACTTCCGGTAGCGGAGGGAAGAGCTCGGGGTGATCGCATGGCACACACCATAGATTAGACAACCTGGGAATGTTTACTCTGATAATGAACCTGTGTTTTGAAAACTTATACTCAGACTATGTTTTGGAATGGTGACTTTGCTTAAAGTAATGTTTTATTAAAAGAAATTTTTGGTCTTAA